TGAACAGATGAGGATTCAATAACCAAATGAAAAGCTTCAAGTCGAAAAACATCCCTCAATAAAATTATGTTTTCCAAAATAAGCAGAATGACATATCAATTTAATTAATTAATATCAGAAATCAGCTTTACATTTGAAGTTGGAAAACTTATCTTTTTTAAACATTTTGGCTAACATCACTGATACTTTGTTTTAAAAAATCATTTCTTCTTAAAGAGCAACAGAATTTCCACAAAACTAAATAAATAAATTCTTTGGCAAGTGATAAGTTTATTTATTTTCTTAAATGTATAAGACAAGTTTATTTAACAAAGTCGATGAAAAGAAAATTCTCTTAGATTTTTATTCATGAAGATGAAATTTTCTTTTCAAGGACCAACGGGTAGACTTTTTCCTTGTTAAATATTTGAATAGGAGCCAACAAGATTAAGTATTTGATTTTTTTTTATCAAGTTCAACTTTTTGACTCTTTTTTTGTCTTTTCTTTGTTCTCTTGAGTCTTGATTGTATTCATTGAAAAGTTTTACTCTTGCTTAACGTTCGCAGTTGAAAAGAAAAAGAATCAGAAAAATTAAAAACTTCGAAATAAAGTTTGACTTAAATTAAATCCATATCAAAAGCAAATAATAATGACGAAATTAAGCTGAATTATAAAAAAACTATGGATGATATAACTTAAATTGAAAAACTATGTGCTTCGATTCAAAATTTTGTTGATTGTTTCCATCTTTTCATAGGATTGGCTGTCCAAACAATTTTATATTCCATCCTGTAATTGGATTTTTCTATTATCCGCCTAATCTTCCCATAGTGTACGACTTTGTATAGTGTCAAAAATATGTGAGAATGGTTTTGTAATGGCAAATGAAATTATTTTGCAAATTTCAAATATATTTTTTTTTATTAATTAAAAAAGAATTATAGAAGAATAAAGAAAACTTCTTTTCATTTTATATTTTAATTTTCAAAAAGCAAAAATTTATATAGTTTTTTTATTTCATATCTTTAAATTTTTTTAGGCACAGAATGCTATAATATTTCGAAAATTTTTATTTTTTAAATACTGTGCCTCTACTTTCATTTTTTTTTCAATTTTTTGAAAACTTTATCTTTTTGTTGGGAATAATAATATGTTTTGGTTCTCTTTGATGGTTTCCTACAGTTTCTTGATAGTATTGTTTTCCTGTTTTCATCGTTGTTTGAACAGGTGTGTTGTTAACATATAAAAGCAGATAAAAGGTATTGACTTTTTGTGTTTGATCAAAAAATTTAATTGAATTAGCTTCATCCATTATATTATATTAAAAGTTTAGAATTGTGTACACTTCATCGATATCTACGGATGGAGGACAATGAATATATGAGGCCAATTAGAAGATTTACATAATTATTTTATATATATTGATATATATCAAATAAAAGTGATCATATTTATTAACCACAAAAAACATCATAAAGCTTCAACTATATACATTAAATAATCTGTGATATTTTACTATACGTCCAGAATTTGATGACATCCTTCATTGAAAATATAAGAGAAAATAAATTATTGAAAAAATATTATACTGCAGGAAATTATTTGAGAAAAATAGCATGAAACGAGGAGATTATTTTGCGGTTGCTTGAACGATAAATGATAAGCTACAACATTCCATGGTTCATTAAACTTGACTTTCCTATTTTTTGAATAAATTTGTCAGAAAAACATTCAATCAAAAAAGCTTAAATAGCATTTGTGGTATAATTTTGATGGACATATTAATGTGTATGTAACGTAATTTTATTCAACAACTTATCAAAGCTGAACATTGGAAATAGCTTATTCAGCAAGGACTATTGTCAGACTCTTTTTCAATTTCACAAATATGAAATCGATAATCTGAATATGAGTATTTGGTCCTAACATCTTGAGCATTGATTATTTCCATAAATCCAATCCGATATTCAAACAAATCTCAAATGTTAAGCGCAAATTGATATTATTGTTTTCGGAATGTAATAATATTTATTCAATATTTATTTTCACATGACTCAACCAAAATTTTTATCTCAATCTTTTCTCTCTGTCTTCTATTTTATTTTCATGCATATCGAATCGTTTCTCCTAATAAAAATCAGGATTATATAAACAGTAACGAATTCACAATCAGCAGTATCAATGGGAGCAGCACAAACACCTGGTTTAGTCAAAATGAGAATGCATCAAATGTAATGGAGAAAGTAATCATGGCAATGACGGGTGAGTTCTTTTCATGAAAAGCTTTACTATAAGAATTTAAAGATTAATAAATTTTGGCATGTTTCCAAAAATAAATCAAAAGGTCGTCACTTAAAATTTTCATTTCATCCGCTTGTGTTTACCAAAACCTCAACTCTCGTGGCTACTCATAGCTTGCACACATTCGTCTTGTTTTTTTTTACTAAAACATTCATGACAATGTAGTCAAAAATCACTACGCGGAGTTTGTGGCTACTACCCACTCTACAATACTTGAAATCCACCTTTCAAAAACCATTCTCTCAATAGCTCAACCATCATCTAAAAAATTTATCCATTAGAATGAAAATACCCTGTCACTATAACTGTGTGGTTCAAGATTTCAATCCATTTGAATGGCATATATGTCTCGCTGAAGATTTTCATGACATCAACATTTTACATTTGTCTGGGAATCACTATGGTAGCTTTTATATTAAAATGTTTTGTCATATATGATATGATAAATTCATCAGACATGCTGTGAACTTGTCGAGGAAAACTAAAATGGGAGAAAAATGATGTAGATTTATTACAAGTTTTGGATATATTCAATTTATGGAAACTCGGTGATTTTTTTTAAAAAATAATTTAATTACCTTTATAAGAAATAAATTATTTTAAAGAAAAATTAACTTATTTTTTTTTTAAGTAAACGCTCATTATTTAATCAGTAAAGAATATCACTAATAAATGTATCTTTTAGTATGAAATGCTTAATTATGTCAACAAAAGTTGAAACTTAATCGTGGGACTTTTGGAGGAAATCCTCAAACATTATACAATTAAATTACTTGCAAAACATCTCTTCATTATCGTCCTACAACTTTTCCTTTAATACTCAAAAAGGTATGAAAGCGGAAGATACCGGAATAATAGAAGTAATACCTCCGGATCTAAGTGTTCTATCTTTTGTCTGTATTTAAATGACTATTATTCAATGATTGTCATTTGAATTAATGAAGTAATCTACGTAAATAAAGTGATTCTTTAAAAAAGGTCGTATTTCAAAATTGGAAGTTGCTGTTGGAAATTATACTATCAACCCAGCTGCCGGGTGGAAAACATTTCAATGTGTGCCGATCGGGGGTAACGTCAATAAATAAATAATGAAAATAATAAATTCACTACAAAGAAAGTTTTTAAATCTATAAAACCTAAAATGCATTCTTGATTTTACAAAGGAATTTTACAAAACAATAGAGATAATATTTTAATAATAAAAGACAAGAACATAATAAAGATTATTAAACACAACGAAGGCATATAAATAAAAGGAATTTATTTCATGCATTGACAAATTCATTCACATTTAGATATTGAGAAGCCTTAAGGTATTTAAGATGATGCATGATTAAGCTATATAATATGTTGACAAAACTCATGAGATATTGTAAAGTCAATAATATTATAGTTCGTGCAATGGACATTGCAATTTCGATAGATACAAATATAAACCAAGAGAATTCAATGAAAAATATATAAAAAATTATCTAAATAAGTATGACAAGCTACCTTATGATACTAATTAATTACTAAGTAATGAATTGACGTAAAGTTAGGACTTTTTTTTGCAAAACAGGGACCTTAAAAATTACCTTAACATCCTCTTTTTCGTAAATTTTATCTCATCTGTATTCTGCTAAGGAAAACATACTAATGCAAAATAAATTGGAAAATGTTAGCACTTTAATATCCAATCGATAGAGGAAAAAAAAAGCCTTTTTATGATGTATTGTACCCAATTTTATTGTAAATTCTATTTTATCTCCTCACATTGTCATTATGGAATGTAAGTTGTACGTGGGGAGTCATATATTCTTATATAAAATCCTTATTTTGAGAACACCACGTGCCATTAATTTAGATCTTGTTGAGCTTCAAGGAATATATTTCTATGCTTAAAATATTGTGAAAAGCATCTGCTAATTTCACATGCTTTCCAACAGAACGAGTTCCATGCGAATAAGCGAGAATTTCTCTATAGTATTTAATAGATGAATGTGAATGTACATCCTTAAGCTAGAAATATGAGACAGAAATTTAAGTGGAGAGCATTAAGTGCTTTTAATTTACAATATATTCATTATACAATAATGTTTCAAGAGAACTTTGATTGTAAGCTTTTGTCAAATGAAAATGAAAAAAAAAAATGAGAATTTTTCCTCAAGCGGGAATTCACTGTCATCACTGCCTTTTGTTTTATTGAAATGCGAACCAACCACAAACTCCAATCCAGCCATTATATAGTGGTGAAAAATTAAAATGGACACAATTGAATCCCAAGACAGGGAGCAAGTCATTACTCTGAACATCATGTATTAATAAAGAGGCACAAAATCCATTGACCAAGACGCTTTCATAAGCTTTCCTTGCTTTACTGAAATGTTTTGACTTATAAATTTGAAATCTTTTTAATCATTTTTTAAATTCTTAATTTTTTGCAGCATCGTTACTTGCCACATTAATATTTCTAGCGGCAACTGGAAATATATTAGTATGTTTAGCAATAGCAACAGAACGAAGTCTTCGTCGAATAGGAAATTTATTTCTGGCCTCATTAGCAATAGCAGACTTATTTGTATCAATTTTAGTGATGACGTTTGCAAGTGTGAATGATATTTTAGGTACGTAAATTGGCTTAAATATTTAAAATCCACTTTCATTAGATATTTTTACAAACTGTTAACTTGAATAATTTGTTGCCAAATTTTTTTTTCATTTCCTCGAAAAAATTTACAGGATATTGGATTTTTGGTGCTGAATTTTGCGATACATGGATAGCATTTGATGTTATGTGCTCAACATCGTCTATTTTAAATTTATGTGCAATCTCACTGGATCGTTATATTCACATAAAAGATCCCCTTAGGTAAAATAAATATTTTTTTTTAACTAAGCGGATTAATTTTAAATGCATTGAACTTAATTTCATATTAAAGAAATTTATATTTGAAACTAAGAGCTTTTTAAGAATGGATAAGAATGTATTTTTTTTAAACATGTAAATTTAATATTACCACAATGTATATTTTATTGTAACATGCATTGACAACATCCGCAATATATCCACTTTACGATGTATCATAAAAGCAGCAATAAAGAGTCATTATTTTCAATTTATAAGCAATAAAATTTAATTCCGACTCTAACTTACATACACGTTCTTGTAAAAATTGAAATTCTTAATTTTTTCGATGTTTTTTTTCATATTTTCATAGATATACGAGATGGGTGACGCGACGTGTAGCCATCATAACAATAGCAGCAATTTGGATATTAGCGGCCTTTCTTTCATTTGTTCCAATATCACTAGGACTTCATCGACCTAATGAACCATTAGCAATCGAGATACGAAATGGAATTGAGTATCCTATGTGTGCACTAGATCTAACACCAACTTATGCTGTTGTTTCAAGCTGTATCAGCTTTTATGTCCCTTGTATTGTACTTGTTGGAATTTATTGCAGGTAAAATTATATTCAGCATGGAGTAGAATTTCGTAAAACAACGGATATTAAATAGATGACAAAATAGTCTAAATGTTTGAATGTTCACAGCATTGAACTGTGCGGCATACATTTTTACTGTTTTAAAATTGACATTTTTGACGCGGTATACAAAACTAATGTATTCATATTCATCAGATGGCTTTCATTTCTAATTGAAAAATTGTTGATTACTTTAAAAGCCAATATGCAATTCAATTCAGACTATGCATTTATTAAAAATGGCTCATACTATTTTTCATAGACGAATTCAAATGTTCATTGCAAAAAACTACAGTGATCTAAATGCGTCAAAAAAATAAAGGAAAAAACAACGAGTTTTAGCTTTTAAAACCAGCAAAAGCATATTAAAAAATTTTTGATTAATATTTCTTGATAAAGACAGAGACATTTATTTGAGAAGCAATTTCGGGATATTTTTAAATCAATATTCGTAGTAATGTAAGGAAGCGTGCATGTTATAAGGACAAGAAAATTGAATTAACAACGTGTACAATATAGATGAATATTATGAGGGAATGAAACGTGCCTTGATAGTTTTTGTCAGCGTGTCAAAATATGTCAATTTGTGTAATGAAAACTATGCATAATTGATAAGAGTAAATGTCGAAAAGAATGAAATAAGTTTCTACTAGATATCAATATAAAGTTTTAAAAAAATTAAGAGACTGACTAAGCTTGCATTTTATTAATCTTTTTTATTATATTAAATTCTTCTTTATTATTAAATTTATTTTCGATTGGGATTCGAATAATATTAATTAATCATTCAAAATTCGACAATCTTGAAACTCTTCAAATTATGCTTATTTATATTCAATACCTTCAATCCTTATTATTTAATGTAACATAAAGACTATTTTATCTAACTTTATCATCTTCTCTTTTTTTATTGTTTAGATTATACTGCTACGCGCAAAAACATGTTCGTTCAATTCGAGCTGTAACTCGTACAACTACAGATCAAATGGAACACCGCTTAACTGTACCATGTAATCGTCGTCAAGGCAATGGAAGCCATTTTAATGGTTTAGGAAAGAAGAAGTTTAATAAACGATCGCCTCATCAATTAGCTGCCTATAATACGTCAGATAGAAAAGCAGCTGTCACTGTTGGTGTGATAATGGGAGTCTTTTTGGGTGAGCAAATTGTCGTTTGTGTTGGTTTGTGTGAAAGTCTTTTTGCTTTTACAGAACATGTGTATCAAAAATACTTTTAAAAATGTTCCATCATATTTGAAAATACTAAGTTAAAATTAAACTTCTAGAAAAAGTGAAATTAAAATATAAAATGCGATTATTTTTCCTTCAACTCTTATACAAATTAAATCACAACATGTGCGCCTGAAGATATTTTCCATCAACTTTTATCGAAGCTAATTTTTCTGCTTTTTTTTATTTTCTTCACCACAGTATGCTGGATGCCATTTTTCTGTGTCAATATTGTTGCTGCATTCTGTAAAACTTGCATCGGTGAGACGACGTTTAAAATTTTATCGTGGCTTGGTTATTCCAACTCAGCATTTAATCCAATAATTTATTCAATTTTTAATACGGAATTTCGTAAAGCATTTAAAAGAATTTTACTAAAACGACAGTGGCCAAGACTTGTATGTTGTGGGAGTTTTCAAAATGATTATAATTTTAATAGTTCGTACGATAGTAAATTTGTTACAAATTATGATGCAAGGTTTTTGCACTCAACGACAGATGTGGAGCAGCTTTCGGCCATATAATTAAACCGATTTGAACCCAATACAAATGGGTTCTTAGAAGAGCACGAGGAAGCAGCTGTATGAAAAATATATTATAAATATTTAAAATGATGTAAGTTTGTGTACTTTATGATAGTTGTATGATATGATTGATGTACATGGCATCTAAATATTTTTAGAAGAATGATTGCTTAATATTAAAAACTGACACATCGGTTTGTCAAATGTGTTTATTTTATTTAAGTTTTTAGAGTATTTGAAAAGATGGAAAGTATATTAAAATGAGTATTTTGTGTATGCACAATGATTTACAAGTTTAATTAAGATAGATTTAATTTATCTTAGTTAATTTATTTTTAACATACAATTTTGTATTGAATTCATTGGAATTCATAATCTTTTTCAACATAATAATCAAGCCATACAGTATTACAGTAGATTATTAAGGAGTGCTAAAATGGCAGCTTTTATCAGAATTGAATCATATTTTTCATTATTTTCATTATATGTTTTTAATTTTTAATTCATCTCTATGCACACAATATTGAATATTGTTACATATTAATCACAGATAGAATTTAAAAGGTTTCGGTGCTCTTACTACGTTCTGAATGTAAACTAGCAGCGACTAGTTGACTAATTCGCGTGAATTTTCATTTTTTTAATCAATATTTATTCAACAGTGTTCACATTGTCGATGGTTTAAATTTTTTTGACCGTAGAGTGAGTACCTATGAAGTAAAATTTAAATAAATTAATTTGAATTTTTGCTTAGGTAAAAAATATAATTTTTTAACAATCAAATTAAAATCATGAACCTTAAAATACTAATAAAGATTACATTGAAGAATTTCTTTTAAAATAATATTGAAAAGACTGACCTAAAATTACTAATATGATATTAAACTATATTTGATACTAAAAATATTTGCTTATCCAGGAAAATATTGTTAGATTTTGAAGAATCTTATGAAATTAATAATTGAATATATTTTGATGATTTGCATCATACACAGAAGAATTTAGATGGGTGTAAATTAGGTGTTTCAAAATCTAATTCAATATCTCCTTTAGAAAAATTGTACTGTTAAATGTAAATAAAATATATTTATAAAAAGTAACAAAACTTCTCAACAATTTATATATTTCTTTGAATGAAATCCTTTAATTTAAATCTAAATTGTTGATGAAATTTGTATAATTTTAAAACAAAAAAGCTTAAAAAAATAACATTTTGAATCTTAATTTTTAAAAAGTTTAATCTTAATGGCTTCTGACATTTTGTTATGAATTATAATAAGTTTCAATGGTGATAATTATGAATGATATTTCCAGTTATTTCGTCAAATATCAAGAATTAAAATGTCAAAAAAAATTTTTTTTAAAAACAGAAGTAAATGCTTAGATACTTAAATACTTTGTAATATTAGTTTTTTTAAAACGATGATGACATATTATCTTTTTAATTTTTATAAAAGTCCACAAAAATTTTTCAAAACAAATTTTTTCAAAACAAATTATTTATTAATTGATTTTCTCGAAATTTAAAACACACAAAAACTTTTTTTTAATTGAAATCCTTTACGAGTACTCTCCAATGTATCAATTTATATTTTTAATCCTATTGCATGCAGCTTCTTAATTTCAAATTTAAAACTTTTAAGTTTCCTTTAGTAAATAACCTCATGAGATTCTAAAGGTTTAGTCGTACATGTTTTACTGACGTGAATTATCGTTTCTCCTTTGGTGTTCATACATGATTCATTTACTATCAAGGGAAATTACATAAAATTATAGAAAAAGTTATAAATTTTAAGTTTAACTTTTATATATATTTTTTTTATACTTATTTAAAATTTTATTGATAGGTCGAGCTTTATAAAATGAAAGAATTTATTATTTGTTTAAAAAAATTAAACTTGGAATAAACATTTAACAAAAGCTTCATTTATTTCGTTGAAGATTAGTAAAGAGATTCGGAAAAATTTTGGGGTTTATGTTTTTTATTCAAAAGAACAATTTTTATTATTTTAGAACTCATTTTCACCTATGACCTCATTCATAAGAGATTTAAATGAATTATGATACTTTAAAAGAAGTATTTAGCGGTTTATTTCTAGTCATAAACTTCTAAATTGTGTCAATTAAAAATTCACAGAAATGAAGGAAAAATCATGTAAAATACTCAATAGAAATAGTGAAATAGAATAAAAAAAAGTAAAAGTTATTTTATCGTTAAAATTAATAATTTAATATTTATTTCATTTTAAACTATTTAAAATTTTTTTAAAAAATGTTGAAAATAATCAAAAATTTGTTAAATATATTTTGTAAAATTTATTTAAATAATAAAATGATTCAGAAATGTACATAAAAATTACTGATCATTGAATTGTTTGAATTGTTTTATTTTTCATATTTTGTTTTAAATTCAAATTTCAGAAATTACCAAACAACCCACGTAACCATAAGTCGACGAATGGAAGATTTTATGTATTACATCAAAATCTTCCATGTATGTTCCATATGTACATTCCATGTATCGTACATTGGACATTATGCTAATATGAAAAGGGACGATTTTTAGTCGATTTTACGTCGATTTCACGTCGATTTTTTTTTGAACAAAAATCAAATTTTTTTTGACCGTTACAATATAAAAACCGATTAACGGAAAAATTTTGAATTTTTTTTGTATGAAAATATTTTTTATTAATTAAACTATAATTTGTAGACAAAATCCAAAAAAAATTAATTAAGGATTTTGTCTTTGAAAAAAAGAGTCGAAGTCTTCATTTAGATGAATAATTCGCTTGTAATTAATTTAATTAATTAATCACACTTTGTATGAAAATTTGGCTGTGCCTTATATAAGTGATTTCTGATTGCACTTGTGAAGTATATAGCGGCTCAAGAAAAACGAATGTAATGGATGAAAAATCGACGTCTATTGGATCATCCAAAAAATTGTACATTTAAGTCGATTTTTTCATTGACGGCGATTTTGGTTACGTGGGAAAACTATTGTATTTAATTTTAGGATTCACTGTTAAATATATTTAAATAAATATGTCATAATTTCGATTTGCTCATTTTGATAAACTGTTAGAAATGTTGTATGTAAATCAACAAATCATCAACATCCGCATTGACTAAATATTTTCAGCACACAACAATTTTCCACTCAAATTTTATATTCTCACAACATGAATTAGGTCAATTAGGGATAAAATTATTCAAAATGCTCCATTAATTTTTAATCTCCAAGTTTTTACGAGTGTTTTTGAATAAAACTTGTAACAATAGCAATTTGATGGATTGTAAATCATTTTACAATATTTGAATTTTATGATAATGGTTTTATATATTTTTTTGAATTTAAACATTATTATATGGAGCAAAAATTTTCGTATAAAATAAAATAAGAATATTAAAGTTTTTGTGCAAAACTAAAATATTTTTGATCAAATTTTAAAATTTTGAATATTTAAATAATTTGTATCATTTTAACTTTTGTTTGTCTAGATTTTTAAAATATGTTTTTCTATAAAAACTAACGAACATGTAAATGAATATGCTAAGGTAAGAAATCATAAAATAATGAAAAAAGTTTGGAACATGACATGAAGGATTTGTCCAGTAATAATATTCAATCAATGCTACTCCAACAATGAATTGAAGCTATAGAAATAAGAAATAAAATAGTTTAACTATTTCAAAAATTAATTTTAGGAATGAAGCACTTACTATTTGTAATTTTGTCAAAATAATTTTAATCCATTTCAGCTTTTGCCATTTTGGGAACATAGCACTCGTCAGATAGTATGAGTACATAAATAAATGAATCAATGAATTCAAAAATGTTCCAAATAAAGGTATTGCAGATGTAAACCACATCGGAAAGAAATATGCTACAATAAGGATGCTAATGTGATGGTAGCAATGCAGAAGCGTTAATTGTCGTTCGCTTTTTCTTAAGATTATAAGGATCTAGGAGGAAAAAATCTTAGTAACGGAAATATAGCTTACAAAATAGGGACTTACAGTGTCAGTAAAATCAAGTATTTTGATCAAAAAATATCCATAGAAAAAGTTCCAAGAAACTTGATCACTGTATGATATTTTGTGACATCCAATCAATGGTTGACCTCGATTTTTCATTACAATTACAAGCTAAAGATCATAAAAATATTATTAAGTTGGAAATTTTTTTCAGGTAAGTATCTCACCATAGTCGTGTATGCAAAATTGACAATTACTTGGACAAGATTGTAAACCACAAGAATCCCTTTTAATTCAACTGCTTTTCTTTTCTTCATAATTTTTGGACCAACACTAATCACAGCTAAGTATGTCAAGATTAACAGCATTATTGTTGTCGGAGGACTTTCTAAGAGTATTTTTCCAGTCGCTCGTGGATCTGTTAATAAGTTTGAATTAAAACACAATGTAAATATGTTGTAAGGCAGATTGGGAAGCATTGCATCCCCTAAATTCTGGATGGAACCTCAATACCTTTATTAACGTAGTAAAACTCATTGTAAGTATTATTAAGAGCATCTAAAACTTTCGACATGACTTTCACTAGCAAAACTTTAAACTTATTTGTGACTTTACTTCAGATAAAACTTTTTAAATATAATGATTGAATTATTTTTTAAACACTTTATTTTATTCAATTTTCCTTTTCTGTAAAAAATAGTATTTTATTTGTTTTATTACAAGACAATTGCGTAAAAATAAATAAATTAGCAGTGTAGCTTTATTGACACTGTAAATATTTGATTGAAACTTTATTAAATATATATTTTTATAGGTTCTTTAATAGCTTGTGAACTAATTATACAAAGTGTTGTGTACGTTCACAATATTAATTGTAATACTCAGTTTTATAATTATTTGTTTGATGACAGGTAACAATTAAATTGTTGATTGAAAAACTTAAAGTGAAATTAATCCAGATGTGAGAGATGCCGTGTCTTCTTAAATTACGTTTATCGCTTGTAATGTCACATAAACTTTTTTGTTATTACAAAAGATTTACGCATCGTCAAATATATTTAAAATTGCTATTCATAGGGACATCCATGTGCAGTATAATCCTGTACATCCCTTGATTATTAAAATGCTCTAAGCCAAAACTCATTAAAATGTCTGCTAATAACTCTACTCGCGCTTTCATTTAATGGAATAACAAAATATTTCAGCATCATCACTATCCTTTTTTGTGCTTAGTCGCAAATCTTTACATCAACCATGAAAACTGAATAGCTTTTATAAAAGTGTTGCAGGGTAGGATGAAGCTTATATAGTAATTGTTTGTTCTTCATAATGGAATTTTTCACATTCTCTGAATTATGAATTATATATTAATTTACTAATTTACTTACATAATAATTTTTTTAAGCTCCCACAAATCAGCATCATCCTCGAATTAAAAAAACCATTATTTAAAATTATGGCCTCTTTATAAAATATTTACCGTGAAAGTAATTTTCTGTCATATGAAATTTGAAAGAAGCTGTTGACATTGGCAGTGTTGCAAATGATAGGCGCTTTCTAAAACATATTACGGTTGCCCATGCGAAGCTTTGTTGATGTATTAACATTATGCAATATTTTAAAAGTTTTTGGAGTTTATTTTTTTTTTTGAAAAACCCTTCCTGAAAGATTACCAAGAATTTGAAAAATGAATTCTAAAGTACTTTTGCCCAAAAAGTATACTTTGCATACAAAATCCATTAAGTGGAGCATGTTAAAATAGGATATTCTCTTTTTCGGATAAAAGTCTTATGTAAACATTGTCGATGACAGATAAAAAGTACTCTAAAATCTCTTAAACAAATTGAGAACTGAAACAAAATCCAAATGGAAAGTTGAAGATGGTAAATTTGTATTCAATGACAGTTTTGGTATGTGTGCGGTTGAATGGTTAAAACGATTTATGCAAATTTAAATACAGTAACGAATAAAAGCAACAAGATGTTAAGGAGCAAAGAATAAGAGACTGAAGAGCATTTTACAGATTCTTAAATGGAACAAGAATTTAATGTGATTACAAAATTGTTCCAATAATACTATTACGAAAAGTACAAGCTCTCATGACACAATTTTAATTAAATGAACATAAGTACTTTAATTTTATGAGAGATGAAATGCTAAGACTTTTAACATAATGTGTAAGAAATTGAATATATTGAGACATTAAGACACTTAACCTAAGAATTCTCTTACTTGAAAGTTGAAATTTTAACCAATTAAAGTTTTTTGCCTTTCTATATTGAGGAAGTATACGTACATCAATGTGTTTTTGCGGCATAAATTAATTGTGATAGCTGTGCTCATTTTTGAACAACCCCCCAATTGAAAATATTTTTTAACCTAATGAGTAAAGCTTCATGGCTTTTTAGATCTAATTATTTATCCATATCATGATGCGAGTCAATAATAATTAAAACATCATTCTATTTTCTGCCACGTCTGCTCGCTCAAATTATCGATTTCTATATATTGCAAATATATTGACCACTCCGAACGATTTGTTGCATAAACAATTCAAATTTATTTATAGATGCCAATAAATATTACCCATTCAGCAATCGAAATTCAAACGCTTACAGACGAAATGGATCAAACTGGGACATGATGAGGATAAACATGACTTGTAGAATTTGAATATTTTTTACAGACATTATAGCTCGCAAGATGAAGGTCATGGAAAACTTGTTCTAAACCCCTTCGACTCTTTTCTTATTGCGTGATCAGAGTTAATAAAGATATCAGAATGGAATGACAAAAAAAATCACACATTGCATTAGGGGCCATTCACTTATTACGTAACGCTTTTAGGGGGAGGGGGGGTCTAAGATTTTGTTACGGTTCAAACAAGGAAATTTTTTTTTCATACAAATTTTGTTACGAGGGGGGGGGGGGTCTAAAAAGTCATTTTTTCGCGTTACGTAATAAGTGAACAGCCCCTTACTTTATCCTATCAAAAAGAAATTTTATCCTAAATTGGCTAAAAGAAGTTTCTTAAAGAATTCCGAAAATTTTCTACACATTGAACCTTTTTTTTTCTTTTGAGTTCATTGTCTTATGAAAATTCTTTTATTCGTTCACAGAAGAGCGTAAAAAGTAAATTCTTTGGTAAATCAACGATTGCATAGAGACATTGTAATGGAATGAATGTTAATCGCAAAGAGTTTCATTTATTTTGGCTTACCGTAGGAAATGGCTATAAAATTAATGTCATTAAGAGTTTTCAAATATTAAAATATTTTCATATTTAAAATTAAAGTTTTACTTTATCATACAAACTAGTTGAGAAAATATTAAAATTAACTAAACCAGACATTAATTTGTTACATTTTTTACTTTACTCATGTGTGTTTAAAACAAAAAAATAAACTTTATAGGGTTTTTTTTTGCATTAAATTTAGTGAGTGAAGCTTTGTGTAGGTAGTTGGGAGACCTGTATGTCAATTAAGTGGAAACAAAAGCTTTTAGATAAAATAAGTGTTAAAACAAATTAGTAATTAATCCTTTTAAATTGAATGAAGGAAGAAAATTGATAAAAAGAGCTTTAAAAGTAAAATTAATGGTTTTTCAAAATGTCTTGGGATAGCAAACTGTTGCCTTAACTCCATTGATTAGGAGTGAAAAATGAAAGCGAACATGAATTGCGTAAAGCAATAATTCAATCAACAGAGCTCCCGAGCATGCAAAAAACTTCTACATCATTTGCTTTTTTACCCTTTTTATTTTATTGAATGAAAACCATAAAAAACCAGATAAATTACAAAAGAATCTTGAAAATATTCATTTTTTTTCTTTCATCTGAAACTAATGATATGAATGTGAAGTAAATTTAAGCAATTGATGAACTCTTTTCATCCTTTTCTTTTTCTTATGATTAATTCCTTCCGGTTTCGTTCACGAAACAAAAACCTTTTGTTCTGTATTATTTTTGCGTGATTTCCACAAACTTTTTTGGTTGTTTCTCACATTTTCTGTGTCTGACTCTTTTATGTTGTCAATTCATTGCTACGTAGAAAAGGGATTCATTCATTCATTTCATTGTACATGTTGTTAGACTCACCCTTTTCCACATTAAGTTATGCTTCATTGCTCTTCATGAGTTCCAAATAATTTTTTTACCTTTTCTATAATGTCAATTTTATTCTTGCCTCTAATTCTTTTTTCTTTATTTTTTGGTTGAACACATTTTGTCATGAAAGAAAAACTGTGGTTGTGATTTAATGCCGTATAAGAATGAATGACAAAGCTCCTTCTCATAAATGAAAGTAAAAGTAGAATATTATAAATAGAAATAGCATTTATCAAGGAATCTTAGAGAACGTGTAAACTTGCTTGCTTCTTTTAAAGGTTTTATGTTTATAGCTGACCAAGTTTTAAGATAGGTATAGGCTGTATAGTCGCGCATATTTATTGAATAGTCATGTGCAAGCACTAAAGTTGGTGAAGCTTTTTCAGAAATTCCTTCGACTTTTAAAAGATAACATTTGAAAATCTCACTGTAATTACAGAGGCTGAATGGTTCTATGAATACCTTCATGAAAAAGTTATAAAATAAGGAGCCGTTCTAAATTATGATAATTTTTTCACTGTGCTTAGATGTAGAGTTAAATGTTGTTAAAATCCAAAAAACCTAAGTTTTTAAAGAATAAATAAAGCCCAAATATTTAAACAAGCTTTTATTTTGATTTAAAAAAAGAGATGATTCTTCTTTTGTCCAAAAGGGATTTTTATTGTTGAATTTTTTTTTTCATTTCTACATTAACTTAATTAAAAGAATTACAAATTCACTTCAAATATTTTCCTTTAATTTTTTTTATATCTCAAACGCCTACATTAATTTGCATAATTTATATGGAGCTTTAAAAGCTTTTTTAAAAATCCTTAAAATTTGTGCTCAAATTCTCAACAACATCTCATGTTATCCAATAAATTACAATAAAGAATATGATGAAAGTATGTAGAATGAAGCATCTTTGTCATCACAATATTTTGCTTACTTAAAAACTCATTGTGTTGAAAATTAAAATGAAACCTTTTTCGGATCCTATTCAAGATCAAAACTCTCTTATTTTTTTTAAACAGTTTAGAGAAAATAAATGGAAGCCACTAAACCATAGTAAATATGATTGCGTATTGAGAGACGTATGAAAGATTTGTCTTTGAAGTTTGTGGCTATATGTTGAGCTTACTTCATCTGAATTTGAATGTGAGGTTTTGCGTTGTGAATTGAATTAGAATTCTAAGATTCATTCAAACTGATTCTCTTAATTTTTATTTTATCAGAATCAAAAAGTCATTAAGAGGTGTTCAAAAATGACATTAATCGAAGCGTTCTGTTCAGACCTTGCTATGCAAAAAAAAATAATTCTGGAAAATATCACTTATTGGAAACTCTTAATGTAAATATTTGATAGAAGTATTTTTCTTTTCAAAAAATTAATTTAAAATGCTGCATGCAAAGCTGTTTTTGCTTCATGCTGCAAACCCAATCAAAAATAAATTTTGGATTATACTGCATAAAAATAACATTGAAACTCAATTTCCTCAAATATACTGCAGCATTTTTACCAAATTACAGCCAAATAAGAAGTATTTTCCTTCCGACACAACATTCGCATACACAGTTATTTACAACATACAAAAGCGTAACATAGCACAATAGTTCAATAGCTTAAAGTCATTAAGAAATAATGGAATTTCCTTAATCTATCAGCAAACAACGCAAAATATTGTGATGGCTTCCGAAGTAAATTTTCAGAAAGTTTTGGCATTTTCATATCCCATCAATTTATTACTATTGAATTTATGATCGAATATATAAAATCAGTAGCTCAATAAAATGCGGCTTTTAAGTAATAACAGAAGGGTATTTCCTGGTAGATTATAAATGAT